CAAGGTTGGCCCTTGCACTTCTGCAGCTGCGTGATACTTTCAGTAAGCGTGAAATCTTCTCATACTGCACCGTCCTCCTCTGTAAAATGGGATGGTTGTGTTCTTGGATGTGGTGGGGTGGGATTCTGCCAGAGCAGTAGCAGATGCCAAGCCCTCTGCATGCATAAAAGCTAGAGTGTGTCAGAATGTTTGTAGAAGATGGGGCCAAAATATACTTATTTTGTTAAACAAATTGTGTAACCTATGCATCATTGTGTCCTAATACATTTTCTATGAACTTTCTGAAGACAGCTTGCATACAAGGATTTCAGCCTTTTTTTTTTTTGGCAACATAATAAACTCATCTTTTATTTCTTCTGCTTTCTACAGACTTTCCGAGGTACCGTTGTACACAAACCCAAGTACAGCTGGAGCTCAGCCTGGGCCTGTCAGTTACTACTAAGAAATCAAATGGTCTCTGAGTGACAGTGATGCCACCCAGAGTTTTGTACTTTACAATGTTATGAAAGTGGTACCCGTGAGAAGCTGGTGTTTTCCCCTGCCCATGATGTGGGATATGGAGAAGCCCTCTGATGGCATGGGGAGTGGCAGCACCTTTAGTTTCCCATCAGTCCCTCTGGTCACAAAGGGACACTGACATTGGTGACAATGCACTGTGTTGCTAAGCTGTGATGTTCTGTGAGTTAGGTGTATTACTGTGGTTTTCATTTGTAATCTTTACAGCTTTCAATAGGAGAGTCCACTGTGTATCCCCTTCTTAAGGAAAGGAGCCTCTGGACAATGCTCTCAATGTCACCTGGGAGAAGTGTCTTCGTCTCCAGCGAGTGGCGTGGCTTTGGGTGAAGTTGCTTAAATTCTATGTGTCTTAACGTAACTCACCTGAGATGCTCAAGTCAGATATCTGCAGGGACTATGCCAGTTCCAAAGTGCTGTTCACTTCTGGGAACAGGATTTGTGGAGGTAGGGGCACTATCATATGAACTTAAATATAAAAGATATATGATTATCGTCAGTTTGAGGGATGGCAACCAGCTGTTGGCTTTTGAGGCAGTACGCTTTGATTGTTTCAGATTAGGCATTTGGAAGACATCTCCGACTTAGGAAAAGAGATCATTTGTAATGTAGGTGGCCTCTGGAGCTGGACTCTCAACACATGACACTCAACTCAACCATAACTTCATGAGACAGGTCTCCCCTCGTGCCCTGATCTAAAGCAGATATGCACTGCTTCTCTTCTTTCACACTTACTGTGTCCTTCTCTTCTGTAACTCTTATAGCGACTCATAGTATCTCCAGCTTGGATTTGGCTTTTCATGCCTGTCTCTTTATTTGCTTGTTTGATTTATTTGAAAGGCAGAGAGCTTGACAGAGATCTTCCATGTGCTGTTTGTAAGTGCCTACAACAGCTGAGCCTGGGGCTGGGCTAGGTCAAAGCCCAGAGCCTGCAATTCAGGCTGGGTTTCTCCTGTGATTGGTAGGCTCCCAAGTTCTTGACCGATGAGCTGTTGTCTCTCGGAGTGCACACTGGCAGAGCTGGGACTTGAGCCCAGATGTTTTGGAATTGACCTCTGGCACCCCAGGTGGCATCTTAATCTCTGTGCCAAACACCCACTTCTAATTTCTGTCTCTTTAAATTGGAAACTGCCTAAATGCAGCACCTGTGTTTACCATGTATGTATGTCCTATGTCTCTCCGCCCAGCACAATGTAGTCACATGCCAGGTGCCGGTGAATCTTGGTTGGGTGACTGGGTGACAGGTGGGGTTCCAGGGTATTTGATGTAGTGATAATACTTTCTGATGGGAGTAGATCCTTTGCGCCACTTTCATGTTAAAAAAAATCTTGAGCACCTGGCCTCCCAGGGAACATGGGATATGCTGTTTGTCCTTCCCACCCTCTTTCCTGCTGGAGAACAGTCATCCAGGGGTGTATGTTTGTTTGGTTTTGATGGGATGCTGGGGGGGGAGGGGCTTCCTTGTAGCTTGGATATGGTTTTTGTCTCCATGGCTCTTGGAAGCTTTTGGTGCCCTGAATGCCAAGTGAGAGGTGGGCCCTGGCGGGAGGTCTGTAGGTCCTCATGGGGCTGCCCTTGGAAGGGGTAGATGTCGTTCTTGGGGGACCCTGAGTTAGAGCTCCAGAGTGTGGGTTGTTGAGGGAAGCTTGACGAGAGTATTAGCCCTGAGTTGCTCTGCTGCCTGGCTGGTGATGAGGCTTCCCTCTGGCACGTGTTCCTACCTTTGCCAGATTGAGCAGAAGGTGGCCCCGGGCCCTTTAACTGCTAGAACTGTGAGTGATGCAAACCTCTTGTCTTTGTAGAAATTCCTAGCCTTAGCGTGTCATCGTAGTCGTGGAAAGCAGACTGAAGTTCTGAATTTGTTCTTGGTGAAAGAGGTGGGCAGGGCAGATACAGCTCCACTGTGGTCAGAATGAAGCCCCGTGGACAAGGCTTGGCTGTGCTACCCATTTGCCACTGTCCTTCCAGATCCACACTGTGTACCTCGGATGCTAACCTCAGTGTCTGCAAGGCTCAGGTGCCCTCTGGCCTTCTCTTGAGGGTGGCCGGTGAGAGGATTGGGAAGGAAGGTTGAGTACGGGGGTGGGTGGGGGAAAAGCAGGGGCTGGGCTCTGCCTTCCCTTGATTTCTTGGCACCTGAGCTGCGAGGCACAGCCACAGTCTAGGGGTCTGCTACAGTGCTGTATTCATGTTCTTGCAAATGCTCTCCCTCTGACCCTCCAGGGACAGCAGGGGTAAGGGCCCCCTCGTCAGGTCCCCCAGGATGCTCCTCTAAGACCTGTCGGTTCCCCTAATTCCACCCACACTTTTATAAATAGTGCCCACATTCTAACTCTCAGTTCCCCTCAGAAGAGGCCCATCTTCCTCTCTGACTCTTACCCAGGGTCTCTTGCTGCATCTTCTTGCACACCTCTTACCTGACACAGTGGTGATGGCCATGCGTCTTACGGCAAGGGAGTGGGGTGCCCCTCCCATTAGTGAAAGTGAGGTGCAGGATCAGAGGAGAGATTAGAGCAAAATCAGGTTATGATATCTTTTATATTAAGTTTATACTTTTATGTTTTAAAAGATTTACTTATTTTATTTAAAAGAATTGGAGACAGACAATGAGACAGATGCTGGTTTACTCCCCAAGTAGCTGAAATGGCCAATGCTGAGCTGATCTGAAGCCAGGAACCAGGAGCTTCTTCCAGGTTTCCCACACGGGTGCAGGGTTCCAAGGCTTTGGGTCATCCTCTAATGCTTTCCTAGGTCAAAAGCAGGGAGCTGGAAGGGAAGTGGGAGCAGCTGGGATATGAACCGGTACCCATGTGGATTTCCCACCGCATGCAAGGTGAGGACATTAGGCACTAGGCTACCTGCATCGGCCCCAGGTTTCTGTTTTTAATGAGAAAAATAACCCTACCTCTGTTAAATTAGAAGTTTGGGGCACACTTAAAGAAGGGATTGGAAGGAGTTGAGCTTCTCTGTCATCTCTCTTGTGAGCAGAGCTGGCTCTGGCCACCACCGCTTTCAGCTGAGTGACCTCAAGCTCCAGTTAGCAATCAAATTCCTGATGTGATTCGCGTTCTACTGGTCTCCCCTGCGCTAGGCATTAGGGCTTCCCTCCTGTGGATCTGGTTACTGTTGGGTAGTTGACCTCACTTTTTTTAACTTTTAATTTTCTTCTGAATATTATTCAGATAGTTGAAAGGGATGCACACCCATGTAGGCCTCTGAAAGGGTGGGAAAGGTCAGGTATGCAAGAAAATAGCTGGGACAAATATTTCAGTTTTTTTGTTTTGTTTTTGTGTTTTCTCCTGTGTCCACAGTGGAGGAGGGGGAAAGGGACCACTCCTTGCTGTCAAGCTACTTCTGCACCTGGGGATAGGGAATGGCCCTTTGATGATTCCTTAGAGACTCCAATGTGGGGAAGAGTGTTCTGATGTTACTTGAGTGGCTTTGATAGCCCTGAGACATTATCGGTTTTGTTTGCTCCAGGATTGAGAAAATTTTTCCAAGGTCTGTTGGTTCACAAAGTTCACCCTAGTGCATCCATTCAGCGTGTTGCTCTCTCTCTCTTGTCTTTTCACCCAGCTTTGGGGCTCTACATGTCTGGTGAGCAGAGGAGAACAGCATTTCTGCGGTACAGATAACTATTCAGGGAGCAAACCGGAGCTGGGCAGCCAGCATGGCCTGGGGGAGGTGGCAGGAATGCCCAGATGAGAGTGAGGACAGATTGGAGAGCAGGCCTGGTTGGGGCCTATGGTGAATGGCTTGAGGGAACACGTGGCTGTCCAGGAATCCATTGTGTAATCCTCACTGTGGAGATGCAGAAAGGGGCTCCAGGCTCTCAGGCGATTTGTCCAAAGTCACATGGCCAGAGAGTGGGCCATGCCAGACAGAGATGAAGGCGGTCTGGTTCCATGTCCACCTGCTGCCCTTTTTGTTCTTCTCCAGCATTCACTGAGAGTGTGGCCAAAGTCAGCATCCATCTCTGGGCAGGGGCAGGCGTTGTGGCACGTTGGGTCACCCACATCTCACATTAGAGTCCTGAGATGGGATCCCACCCCTGCTTCTGATGCAGCTTCCTACTCTGGGAAGCAGCAGGTGATGGCTCAAGCACTTGGGTTGCTGACACCCACATGGGAGACCTGGTTGGAGTTCTTGTTTTTGGCTTCTACCTGGTCCAGAATTGGCTCTTATGAAGATTTTAGGAAGGGGATCAGGAGATTCAAGACTAATTTATTTCTCTCTGTTTTTCAAATAAGTAAAAATACATCCATTACTCTAAAAAGGAAGAAACCTGCCTCTGGGATTATGAATTAGAGATGGATTCTGGTGTTTCTGTTCCAGTGGAAGGAAATGGCAGAGGCCATCTGAGTCACCCCCCAGGAGCCGTGGTCCCTCTGAACTCCCTCCTCCCTCTCTCCTCCCTCCCTCCCCCCTCCCGTGCTATGCCACCCACCACCAGCTGCCTGACCTGCTTTTTCTTTTCTGTTTTGCAGAAGTCGAGCTGCCTCTGAAGAAGGATGGGTTCACCTCAGAAAGCACCACACTGGAAGCCCTGCTCCGCGGTGAGGGTGTGGAAAAGAAGGTGGATGTCCGAGAGGAGGAGAGCATCCAGGAAATACAGGTGTGTCTGCAGGTGGATGGGGGGGGGGATCACCCAGGGCACCCCAGCGTGCTTCCTTCTAGAAGTCAGCATCACATCTGGGTCCAAGTTGCTTCTCAAATGCCTGTGGCACCGTCAGTAGGAGGTTCCCAGGTTCTCCTCGAGTTTAACGCATCTCCCGAAGAAGGAATTGTTGCTCTCAAATCTGTTCTTGTCCCTGATGTTCCTGATAGCACTGAGAACCATCTTATAGAGTTATATATTTGTTTTGAAAAACAGAGCAACAGAGAGATGGGAGGGAGGGAGGATGAGAGAGAGAGAGAGAAAACTTTCATTGGCTGGTTTGTTCCCTGAATGTCTGCAACAGCCAGAACTGGGCCAGGCTGAAGCCAAGAGACAGGAACTCCATCTGGGTCTCCCATGTGAGTGGCAAGGGTTGGTGCTACAAGGTGGCAACTTAATCTCTGCATTGCTACAGTGCCTCATAAATTTAAGAAATGTGTATTTTGTTGTTGTTTATTTAAAAGGCATAGAGAAAAAGAAAGAGAAATGGACCAAGTAAGCATTCATCTGCTAGGTACTCCGCAAATGCCCACAACAGCTAGGACTGGGTCAGGCCACAGCTGGGATTCCAGAATTCAGTCCAGGTCTCCCGCATGGGTAGCAGGCATCCAGCTACTTGAGCCACTCCCCGTGCCTCCCAGGGTGTGCATTAGCAGGAAGCTGCATCAGAAGCAGACCTGCAACTCACCTATATGAGATGAAGATATCCCCAACTGCATCTTCAGTGCTGTGCCAAACACCTGTCCCCAGAAAGTACTTATGAAGCAATTGAGCATTGGGTGGCATGCTAAATCCTGGTGCTGAACAAAACAGATGGGTTCTTGTCCCTGTGGAATGAGCAGTTTGCCTACTGGGTCTGAGACTGTGGTCTGCTTAAGTCAGTTCCTTGCAAGTATTTGGTTCCCCCTACTCCTCTTCCCTCCATCCGGGCTCCAGCTCCAACTCCCTGGGTTTCTCAGCATCACCCACCTAGCCTCCAACAGGCCTCATACAAGCCACTGCTGTCGTCACCCTGCAGGCAGGGTGCTTGCTTCCGTCCCTGCATGTCCACCCCACCATGGGCAGACAACACAGGACTGTAATGGGGGCTCCTTCTGTGCTGTGACTCCCCATTGTCCAAAACAATGCTTGGCCTAAAGTAGTGTTACAGTATTAATCAATATTAATTAAACAATAGAGTTAATAACCAAACAGAATTAAATTATTAAAATTGGATTATATGTACATGAAATTTATTTCCAGCTTTGCATTGGTATTGATTCATGTATCAATTTATTGCCATTTTAATGACATTATTACCAAGTATATGTGGTTGGTTTACTTAATAAGTACCACCAGGCAGTGCGGTCCATCACTTCAGGGATTCTGCTGTTGTTTCCACCGTGGGGTCCATGGGGCCTGGCTCGTATACCTGGCAGGGGCTTGGTTCTTAGCCAAGCTGCAAAATGAATTGGTGAATCTGGCTTCCACTGGGCTGTTCCAGTCACAGCCTTTGTGATTGAATGGACATGGCCAGGGACTGTATTTTCTTTGCTCTTCTGTACTTGTTAAGATATCCATGAGCTATGACCTTGCAGACATGTTTGTCTCTGCCTTTGCTCCCATCCAGCATTCCATTCCTCAGGAATCCTGTTGACTGTGTCGTTAGCATAAATTCAGACTGAATCCCTTCTCTCCACATCCACTGCCACCATACAGATTCTAGTTCCTCTCCTCTCTGAACTGGCTTCTCTGGTCTTCCCAACCCAGAACCTTTTTCTGCTGTCAGTGGCCTTGCAGAAAATGCAGCACCTGGGCGCTGTTTCCACATCAAAGGCCTGGGGCCACAGACAGGAGACTGATGGACAGAGGAGCAGAGGCCCAGTGGTATCCTGGGGACCAACTTAACTGCTCTGCTCTCACCTATATTTTACCTTCCTGCCCAGAGTTCATGCTATACCTTAATAAAACACTGATTAAAAAAAAAAAAGCATGGAGTCCAAATTGTGCCTACCAGAGGCAATACCCTTAAAGTCCCGGACACTTGGAGCATCCTGTGATTCAAGGACTCAAGGTGTGGAGTGTTAGCAAGATGGTTGTGTGAGCAGTAATGGCAGGTGCAATGACTACATCTGAAATTTTGCTGTAACCGCAGTGTTACCTGCCAGTCTTCCTTGACTTGCTCTGATATTCGCATGGGCAGGTCAGGAAGCCAAGGGGTCTGCTCTAGGCCTCTTGTGTGTCCACATTTTAAAAAAAAGATTTATTTTATTTTTATTGGAAAGTCAGAAATACAGAGATGAGGAGATACAGGGAGGAAGATCCTCCATCTGATGATTCACTCCCCAAGTGGCCGCAAATGGCCAGAGCTCAGCTTATCTGAAGCCAGGAGCCAGAAGCCTCCTCTGGGTCTCCCACATGGGTGCAGGGTACCAAAACTTTGGCCTGTCCTCGACTGCCTTCCCAGGTCACAAGCAGGAAGCTGGATGGGAATTAGGGTTGCCAGGATTAGAACCAGTACCCACATGGGATCCCAGCACATTCTTGGGCCCATGGGTCTACATTTACTGAACTCGGGGCCATAGGTCATGCCTAGCAGACGATGCCTCTGTTCTTGTAGAGAAGCCAGAGACAAACCCACTGGCCCTGTTTGGCATTTTTCAGGAAAACTGGGGGATGAACAGCTTTTCTGTCTGCAGTTGCCGCAGGACAGTCTGGGCAGAAGGTAGGGACAGGAATTTTCCTGAGCTTTGGAGAACAGACCAGAGGGTGCTTGGCCAGTGATGGAGACGTCAGAGGTCCATGTGGTAGGTGCTGCTGTGTGAGCCTTTTCGTAGTTTGTGTGCTGTTTGCACATCACCACACAGTTATCCTGGCTGGTTTCATGTCTGAAGTGTTTTCTAGGTTCTTCTTGTGCCAGGTCTTCCCAGGGCATCAAGTACGGGTCCTGCTGACCTCTTCCTGCCCTCTGGACAGGCCCTGGTCTGCTCCTGCCTCAGGGAATTAGCTCATGCTGTTCTCTCTGGTACCTTTCCTCCAGTTTCCCCATCCCCACTCACCACGCTTAGTTCTCCTTATCCTGCACGTACCGACCCCTTTAGGTCAGGTCCTGGTTAGGTCCTCATTCCCTCCTATGCTCTCCTCAGAGCACGTTGAACCTGCCTGTCACTGTCCTTCTGACAGCTTAATCATTGCTTCAATCCTTGCTCCTCTACAAGATTGCCTAGTCCATTTGGGGGCAGAACTAGCCACCGTGCTGTGTTCCTAGCACTCACAGTGCCAGCTCTATAGTTGTGGCACTAGGTAAACATTTATGTAGGTGGAGGCACTAAGGATGACTTACACAAAGGCACAGAACGAGACCCTAAAGAAATTCCCAGTGCCCTGCAGTCCTAACAAGCTCCACATCCTCTTCCCTCACTCCCACCCCAGGATGAAGAGAGTAGATCCTTGGCTGTCATTTTTATCTTTCCCCATCCCCTTTATACCTGTGGGTGCACACCCTACTCTCCCCACACTCCTTGGGATAACTGGTCAGCTGTAGGTGCTGAGGAGGGAACGGAACGCTCCAAGAGAACGAACAGTGGAAGCCCATGGCTTCCTTGTGTGAACTCGGATGGTCAAAACTGTTTTCTGCCTTAGTCTGTGCAGCTGTAATGTGGAAATTGGATTTATGCTGCCCTGTGACTTGCAGGGCTGCTGGAGAGAGTTTGAATTCAGGCTATTGAGAATACATGGCAAGTCACATGCTAAAATGAAAATCTCATCTTTTTTTAAGAAAGCACCAGTGGATGATGATGACCAGCACCTTGATGCCAAGTTCTGGTCAGACTAACAGTGAGGGCCGGGTTTCAGAATGGCAGAAGAAAGAGAAACACGTTTCCAAGGTGGCCCTTTTGGCACATGAATGTAAAATGAAGGCTTTGATAAAGCGTCTTGGCCCTGCTGACAACAGTGAGCCTGCCAGAGAACTGATGCAGGTCCATGTCTTGGGAAAGGTATGGCTGGCAGGGGCCTGGGACATGGAGAGGCCAGCACTACCACAGGTCCATACTCTTTCAGGGCAGCAGCCGGGCACCCAGCTGCCCGAGGAAGGGCTGGCTCTTGTTTGTGGAAAGACCCTGGGAAGACAGACCACTCCAGTGATCTTCTATTTGGGTCCTCACCTGCACCTTATTTCTCACCTTTCCTCCTGGCTTTCTTGTCATTGCAGAGGGTTTTGGAAAATGATGAAAATATGGAAGAAGGGAATGAAGAAGAGGATTTGGAAGAGGACATTCCCAAGCGGAAGAACCGGACCCGAGGCCGAGTGAGTGGAGGTGGGAAGGTGCCATGAGGGCAAAGTGACAAGGGAGGCTAAAGCCAGGCCAGTCATCACTGCTAGGGAGCCAGGTGCCAGTGCAGCTGGAGATGAGTGCATCTGCCATCCTCCTGGGAAGAGAACTCCACAAGGGCTCTGATTCAAAGTCATGGCCTGCAGAGGGAGAAGGGGAGATGGGTATGTGTGGTGTGGAAGAGTTCCTGAAGGAATGGCAAGGCCAGGAGAGGTGTGTGGGTGTGTGTATCTGTCCCCTGCTTGCTACTTGGCCATGGAAGACGGCCCTGGGAGAATAGGGTGGGGACAGTGGGTTTGGGGTGTGCTTCCCCGTACAGGGGGGAGTTGCTGCTGGGATGCATGGGGCTCCAGCTGCTCTCTCCCAAGGAGTGCTTCTGGAGTGGGGCAAGGGAGAGGTTACAGCCTAGAGGACAGGCCCAGCAGGAGGAATGATACCAGGGTCATTCCTGCAGGGGAAGGGCCAGGCCTGGGGGGTGCATCCAGGCTTGCAGGTTGGGCTTCCAGAGTCCTTGTATTCCACGTCAGATCAGCTCTCAGAGTCTACAAGGGCATGGGTCAGGAACCAGGTACAATGGGACCCACAGCAAGGAACTGCCACCTCCCACCAGAAACCAGACTCTCACAGGCCCTGGGACTGGGTTCCCTCAGGCTCTAGGCACAACCCCTCCTCTCCCAAGGAGTCAGGTTAGTCCTGAGTGCTCTGTGGGTTGGATTCCATAACTGTGGCAGCCTTCCCTGCCATCCAGGGAACCATGCAAGGGCAGAGTACCAGGACTCGTGCTTCAGAAGTTTGGATTGAAGTGGTCTTAAAATCCATTAAGAAAAAAATATTTGTTTGAAAGGCAGAGCAAGAGGAAGATCATTCGTTCACTTGTTGGTTCGCTACCAGATGCCCTCAATAGCTGGGGCTGAACCAGGGACAAGCCGAGGACCAGGAGGGACTCAGATGGGCAGGAACTCCAGATGGCCAGGGAATTCAGGTTCTTGAGCCATCATCTACTGCCTCCAAAGGTAGAGATTAGCAGGAAGTTGCATCACCAGCAGAGTAGCTGGGACTGGATCCCAGGCACTCTGACTGGGGGTGCTAGAGTTCTCAGTGGGGGCGTCGCCAGCTACAACATACAACCCACCCCCTTACATTTGTTTTAAGCAAGTCCCCAGGCAAGGGTGGCATGCCCACTGAGTGCTCAGGTGCCTCCTCCCCCTGTTGGAAGGGGCTGGAGTCTGTGTGTGCAGGGTCGCTTTCTGACAGGGCACCTGTGTAGAGCCGTCATTAACTTCCTTGTTTTCTCTGTTCTTTTCTGTTCTTTTTAAATTGATTTGTGTTTGATTTTCTTTCCTGCAATATTTGAAAATGAGTTCTAAGTACTTTATCACTTAACTGGCATAGTTCTCACTATTTGTCTCTAACAGATATCGGACTATTATTCCCAATAAAAATAGCAATTATTTTGTTGCTTAAGATCCATTTCCTGATTACTTCCCTCTGATTTTTTTTGAATGCCTTTTTGTTATTGGCTTGTTTAAAACTTGCATCTCTTTTATTCCACAGACTACTGCTTCTAGACACACATTTTCCCCTCTCCCTCCACGTTAAAGAACCTGAGTTGTTCATGTCATAGTTTCTCGTTGTTCTAGATCGGGTGGGGTAGTCATGTTTAGTATTGTGGTACAAAGAGTTTTTTTTCTTTGTACTATGTGTTTCAAGAACTTTTCTTTCTTTCTTTCTTTCTTTTTAAGATTGATTTGTTTTACTGGAAAGGCAGATTCACAGAGAGAGAGATACTCCGTTTGCTGGTTCACTCCCCAAGTGGCCGCAATGGCCAGAGCTGAACTGATCTGAAACCAGGAGCCTCTTCTGGGTCTCCCATGTGGGTGCAGAATCCCAAGGCTTTGGGCAATCCTCTACTGCTTTTCCAGGCTACCAGTAGGTAGCTGGATGGGAAGTGAAGTAGCCAGGACACAAACTGGTGCACCTGTGGGATTTTAATGTGTGCAAGGCAAGGATTTTTGCCTCTGAGTCTTTGCTTCAGGCCCCTGTTTCGTGAACTTTTAAAAACAAAATTCATTCATTCATTAGAAATGGGTGGGAGGAGAGGGAGAAACTGGGGGAAGGTAGAGGAGATGACATCTGTCTGTTGATTCACTCCCCAAATGGCCTTACCTGCCAGGGCTGGGCCAAGCCAAGTCCAAGATTTAGGAGCTCCAACTGGGTCTCCCACATTATGATAGGGGTCTTGGAAGGACTGGTCGAATTACCTACTGCTGTGCTTTTCAGTGGTGTTAAAACTGATGAGTGGAGAGTCCTTTGTACTTTAGCTATTTGGTGTAGCATAAGCCTTTGACTTTTACGTAAGCAAAAAAAAAAAAATGTTATCTCTCAAAAAAAATTTTTTTAATGGACCAGCGGATTTGTTCTGATCCCTGCCTCCCAAGGTTTTCCATCAAGTTGTCACTGAATGATTTTCACAGCTGCTCACGAGCTTGCCTAGACCTATCCTTTCCTTGGGGGTGGGGAGTTACACAATAGCGACTGTCTGATTCCATGGCGACAGGAGAACTGAGAGGCCAGAATTCTGGGTCTGGTGTGAACCCCCAGGGTAGCATGCCTCCTCCAGCCCAGTGTCCATGCCGTCCGCTCACCACCCAGAACACTGAAAGCAGGTAGGTGGTGGAAGATGGTTGGCTTCCCCACTTTCTACTTGCACCGCAAACTTACGGGGTTGAACTTGGCAGCTAGTGACCACAAGCCTGGTGCCTTCCCTGTTGAGGACATTGGCAATGGTGGCAGCAGCTGATTGCACTGAAGTACAAACTGGGCCACGTGATGGGCTCGTTGCAGCAAGAGATCTTCCTAGATGGTTATGACTTTGTGCCCTGTGGCTTTTGCTCTATGCTGCATTTCTACACTGTCCACTCTGATGGCCACTGGCCACATGCAGTCCCTTGGGTCTTCCAAACATGACTAGTCCAAACTGCACCTGCTGTAATGTAAAATACACACTGGATTTTGAAGACTTAGTAGAGAAAAGGAATGCAGGGTGTCGTATTATTCCTTTTTACATTGAGCCAAATTTAAGATGACATTTTGCACATTTATTGGGCTAAATTAAACACTAAAATTAGTTACATCTGAGATGTGGACTGACTTCCAGCCATGACTGTTGGGGGCATTTAGGGAGTGAGTAGGGTATGGGAGATCTCTCCTCATCTCTCTACCTCTCAAATGAAAAGGTTAAAATCACGTTTTCTTTTAAAAAAAATACATACATACATACATACATATATATATATATATATATATATATATATATATATATATATCCAGGCCTATATAATATTTCTTTTGACTAGAATTTCTTCTTTCATTTCCATACGTTGATGTCACCACTCCTAGAGAGGTAGGGAACTTCTTCAAGATCACATAGCCTAGTAAGGAGGAAGCTAGGATTCAGTAGGGCTTTTTGCACAATTACGCTTGTAGCATGTAGCCAGTGACCAGCTTGATGAATAAGTAATGGAATGATGGAAAAAAGAAGGGAAAATCATATTTCTACTTTAGGGAAGCTAAGCAAATGCCTGCACACAGCAAGGGGCTGGATAGACTGTAGACTAGCATGGGGTCCACCTGTTGCTGGTATAGCCACAGCTAATAGCTCATTGTTATATAGGAACACTGTGCACCTGCCTGTCAGTTATGGCAAGAGCCATGGAAGGATCCAGAAGGGTGTGGGTGAGCCTATTTGTACTGACTAAGTGTGTGATGCTACCTTGCCCATAGCCTCTGTTAAGATGTCTTGGTACTTCTTAATGTGGCATAGCCCATCTGTTGCTGGCCGCTGACCAGTGCACCCATGACTGTTATCAGGACTGGGTGTGGGGGACAGTGACACCTCTGGGGGTGGTCCCTGGAATGGGATACCAATATCACCTGAGAGCTAGTTAGGACTTCGGGGGCCCACATGCTACCCTGGATGGACTGAAATTGAATCTGCTCCTTGAACCCTGGGCTTTGCTGATTGAGGAGGCTGGGGATAAGGTAGTGATGATAAGAACAGGCTCTGTTTTATTTCAGTTTAGACCCTGTGAGTTCAAATCCTAGCTCTACCCCCTGCTATACATAGGGTAGATCATAATCACCTCTGGGACCTTGGCCAAACTTTGTAAGTACTTTGGGCCTCAGTTTCTTTTTCAGCCAAATGGGAGTATAAACACCCAGCCAAATTTTAGCGCCCAGTAAGAGAGAGACTAGTTATTCTAAGCTGCGAGCAAAAGGAATAGCTCTCTCCAATGGGTGTTCCCTGAGGAGTGAGTGAAATGCAGATGCAACATAATTGTATCCATGGTAACTTGATCCAAGAAAGCAATGCTCTTAAAAATTCACGGAATTCTTGTGAGTCATACAAGTGGGTATTATCAATCAATCAGGAGGAATAGTTGTTGCTGGGCCATAGTGTAGTCCGGTGTTTCTCAAACTTGGATGCACAGAAGAGGCAGCTAGCGATCATGTTAAGGTGCAAATTTGGATGCAGCGGGTCTGGGGGTGGGGTGAAGACTAAATTCTGGCCTTGTTAATATAAGCTCCCAGTGCTCCTGACCTGACCCCCCAAGAGTGTGGAACTGTGGTTCTCAAGTTTTTGGGCTCAGGAATTCCCTACATTCTTGAAAATTACTGAGAGCCCTCAAAGGCTGTTCTGGTTATAACCACTTATAGTCACAGCACTAGTGATTTTTTTGCTGTATTAGAAATTGAGAGAGAAAAAATAAATTATTAAATTTATTTGAGAAAGAAGATCTTCCATCTGCTGGTTCACTTCCCAAATGCTCACAATGGCAGCAGGAATTGTGCCAGCCTAAAGCCAGGAGGCAGGATCAGCACGAATCTCCTGTGTGGATGGTAAAGACCCAAGTCCTGGAGCTCTTGCCTGCTGACTCTTAGCATGCACATCAGCAGGAAGCTGGAATTGGGAGTGAGACTCAGATTCAAACCCAGACACTCTTACATTGGATAGACTGCAGGTATCTAAATGATGTTTTAACCACAAAACCTTACAAATATATAAACATACAGCAAGGTATCATCACACATCATATAGCTTCTGGAAAACGCCATAATATGTTTGTGATAGAATGAGTAAAAGGGTAAATAAAGTTTATTACTATTCTGAAATTACTACTTTCGTTACGATAAAATGAGAAAACAGCTGGATTCTGACTGTGCCCCACCCACATGCAAAGATAATTCAGAGGAGACAGAATCAGTATGGGCAAGGGGAGCATAACTCCCTGAGTACTTCCTGTGAACTTGGAGCTGTCCTCTGTGGTTTCACACCTCTGAGCTCTCATGCTCTCCACAACTCAGCATTCAAGGTGTTGCTGTGCCCATTAGATAGCTGAGCGAACCAAGGCTGAGAGAGGCAACTTGTCCTCAATACCCACATGGTTTCAACCCACATCCCTCTCTGATTTGAAAGCTGAGGCTCTTTTTAGCCCGTCCTGTAGCAAGAGGAAGATTCTTCGACGTTAAAGCATGAATCGGGGGCCACGGTAGGGCAGTAGGTTGAGCTACTCCTGCAACATCAGCATCCCATGTGAGCGCCAGCTCACTGCTAATGCACCTGGGAAGGCAGCAGAACATGGGCCTTGGGCCACCTGCCACCCACATGGGAGTCCAGGTGGAGTTCCAGGCTCCTGGCTTGGCCTGAGGTCAGCTCTTGGTGTTCTGTCATTTAGGGAGTGACCCAGTAGTGGGAGAATCTCTCTCTCCCTGTCTGGTCCTCATCCCCACCCTTCCTGACACTCTTCCTGTCAGGTAATTCTTGTTTTAAAGGGCATAGGTTGGTCAGATGCGGGCAGGCAGGGCAGAGGAGAGGCTGGCCTGGCACAGGGTTCAGTTACAAGTCATTTGTAGGGACAGCACTGTGGTGTAGTGGATAAAGCTGCTGCCTGTGATGCTGGCATCCCCTAGGGGCACTGGTTTCTCCTCGTCTGGCCCAGTTCCCTGCTAAGGCACCTGGGAAAACAGCAAATCTTGGGCCACATGCAGGACCGCTACACCCATGTGGGAGATCCGGATGAAACTCCTGGTCTCTAGTTGTGGCCTGGCCCAGCCTGGCTGTTGACAACCATTTGAGAGTGAACCAACTGATGGAAGATCTCTGTCTCTCTCTCACTCCATTTCTTTTTTTTTTTTTCTCCACTCCATTTCCCATTCTGTTTCTGTAAGTCTGCATTTCAAACAAATACGTAAATCCTGAAAGGAAAGGAAGATGTGGACCTAGCATGAGCATAGGATGAACCTGCGGTTATCCCTAGGTCGTTCTTGTGTGATAAGAGTCGTCCTTGGCTGAAAGTGGCAGTGAATGAATGCAGAAGGAGCGACTGGCCAGGGGCTCCTGTCCCGTGGTCTGAGTACCTGATTGTCGTGCTGGGTGGGTTGAGCTGGGCTGTGCAGATGGTGAGAACCCCTCTGCCCCCAGCTGGTGGATTCTCCCAGAGGCTCAGGAGTCTGGGGTCGGGGCCAATGTGGACAGGGAAAGTGTCTGCTAGGAGAGACTGTGACATTGGGTATAGAGAGGCAGGGCAAGGAACCAGAGGCTGTTGACTCACTGCTGGCCTGATGGATCAGCCCACTTATTTGACAAATTTTAGCAAATGTCTGTGTGGCCAGCTCTGCACCAGCTTCAGAGAAAAGTGGCGGCCCAAACAGGTCTCCCGCAAACCCCAGGTGAGATGGACAGATAGTCCAAAAGTGTATAGGCACTGGTATAACATGATGACAGGCAAGACTAAATGCTGTGTTGATGTATAAATCAGGGTGGGGGAAGAGAACAGCAGAGAGGGGTGAGTAATCAGGAAGGGCTTCTCAAAGGAGGCTAAGTGGGATTTTGGAGTCTCTAAGCCTAGAAATGCTCCTGCCTCCAGAAGTCTGTAGCATGTCCCCCTAAGTGGCCTTTAGCCCACAGTCACCATTTGCAGTGAGGAAACCGAGGCACAGTAAGTGTGTGGGCAGCCTGCTGGCCAGCCCTGCCAAGGGAGATGAGGGCCTGGCGCTGGGCACAGCCCCCCTGCCCTGTTGGCTCCTGCAGTTGCACACGACTCCGCCTCTTCTCCCTGGAGATATTTTTAGTCTCCGGAGCCCCTTCCCTGTGCCTGTGTGTCCTCCTTGTCATCTGCTTGACTTGCTTTCACCTGCTCCTGGGCGGCTGTGACAAGGCTGCAGGCAGTGAGCCAGCCCGGGTCAGGGCAGGTGGGCAGCTCAGGATGACCATCATGAGCCCCCACACCAGGCCTGGCGCTGCCTGGGGTGGCTGCCTGTGTCTCCCAGCTCCCTCTTGGGGTCACCTCTGAGTAATGAGGGCAAGGGGAGGCAGGCTGCTGGCTGCCAGCCTGCAGGGGGGAGGGGTGGGGTTCTGCAGTGTCTTGCGGAGAGCAGCCAGCCTAGGAGGGGGTGGGGCGGTCACCCTGCAGGTGATGTTGACAGCAAAATGTGTGTCTAAATGTCCTCGGCATATGTGTGCTATATTCTGTGAGAATATTTGTGTGTATTTTGTCTGTTGTATGTGTGTTGTGTGTTTGTGTGCACATCCTAGGCCTTTCTGTTGTGATGTCTCCTGTGTATGTGTTTTGTATATTGTGTGGTGTGTGCTATGTGTATTGTGTTATGAGTATAATTTGTGCATGCACTGTGAGAGTGTTTAATGTGCGTTTTGTATGTCCTGTATGTGTTGGGTGTACTGTGTACTGTTTATGGTGTGTATTGTGTGTGTTGTGTATTGTGCTTATGTGCTTGCTCTATGTATTGTGTATGTGTGTGTTGTGTGCTGTGTGTGCATGAGGGCATGCACAGGAATATCTGTTCCTGTGAGTTTCTAGGCTTGGCCACTGACTACAGGGTCTCCTACTCCCAGGCTGCTCTTATTTCACGTCAGCTGCCCATCCCTCACTGGTTCCAGCACCCTACAGGTTCCTTCATGGGTGGGGCTTTGCTGCCAGTTGGTATCACAGAATGACTTGGGGCAGGCCTGGATGCCACCCATGCTAGTGGCAGGGGACTAGCCGAGCTCTAAAAATAAGCTTGCTGATGCTGTTGCAGCTGCAGGCCTGGTGCTGCCCGCAGCCTCTCTGGCCCTCTCCAGCTCTGAAGGTCAGAGCTCACTGTTCTCCCACCGCCCAGGTCACATGGATGTTTGTCAGACCAGACACATAAGCTGGTGTTGTCAAGTCAAGGGCAGGCTATCCCTGAAACCCACCCCTACCCTGTAGGCCAAGTGTGTGTGGGGGGTGGGGGAGGAGCTCCCTGATGCAGTTGGACGGGGCTGGGACCCGGGCAGCTGGGCTGAGGGTGGCAGTGATACCTGTTGTCCCCATCAGAACCTGCTCTTCAGCAAGCCCATCAGCTGCTGAGCCAGGACATCAGCAGGCAAGGGCTAGCATCTTCAGGCTATGCTTATAGCACTACGTACAGCAGCCCTGCTAGCCATGGGGGTAGGTAGGGGAACTGAGTGGATGCGGCCTCTTGATTGGGCTGTCCCCAAGCATGGGTCATGCAGTTGGTAGGCCAGTGACCTTGGAAAGTGATTTGCCTTCTGGCTTACCTGAGCCCCCGATCTCCAAAATAAGGATCATGATGCACATAGCTCTACAGAGTTGTGAAGGCTTGGTGAGAAGATTCAGGTCGAGTCATTGAATTATGTGGGGACAAGTTACCTCGCCTCCCTGGGCGTTGATTTCTTTTTTTTTTTTAATATATTTTTATTTTGAATTTTGAATTATGAGGTACAGTTTCATGTAGGCTGGGATTCCTCCCCCCCGCCCCCCGCAAACTCCAACTCCCCAATAGATTTTCCCAATTTTACTACAGTGGTGTAGTCCTTCATGGCCTTGGTTTCTTTACATGTAAAATGGATTGGCCTTGGCACACAGGGTGTGATGGAGATGGCGAGGGAAATTCTGGGCCGCATTCTCACATGTGGTTTCACAGAAGGACATGCTGGGCACCGGTAGCGAGTGTGCCATAACAACACGCACCTCTTTGCTCCAATGTCTCCCCAGGCTCGTGGCTCTGCGGGTGGCAGGAGGAGGCACGATGTCACCTCTCAGGAAGACCACGACAAACCTTACGTCTGTGACAGTAAGTACAAACGGCTGGACCCCACCACTGCCCCCTGTCATGGGCCACCAGCCTGGGGCCCACCTGCTGCTGCTTCCTGGGGCTGTACCCTAGCATGGCTGCCTGCACCTTGTACCGCTGCCATAGCTACACCCCAGGGGACTGCACGTGAGCAGTGCCAGCCCCACCGGGCTTGCTGGCCTTCTCTGTCTGGTGGTGCCTTCTGCCTAGCTCTCCCGCTTCCACTCTGTCTGTCTCCAGGATTCCTCCTCCATGTCCTCTTGTGTTTCAGAAAGTCACAAACAAAAGCATAACTCACAGCCCTCTGACAAAGGTACTTGGCTCTTGTGGCTTCTCATTTGTTTCCCTTAATTTCCTCTCTTGCTCTTTCTCTGTGTGTGTCTCCTGTCCTAGGTAAGGCGAGTCATGAATCTTTCTGTGCCAGTGACTTACTCTAATAAACAGCCCTCCATCCTTCGCCCATCTTTCTTGTTTGCCTCAGAAACATCTTCTGACAGCAGCATTTTGGGGGTAGGGTGTACAGGCAGTATAGCAGAGGGAGCCGAGGGCGGGGAGTGGTGGGTGGCCCAATAGCAGGTGCACCTGGGAAAACCTTCAGCTTGGGGAGGTTTACACCAAGCAGCAGCTCTTGTCTCTCCCCTGCCTGGGTGGAGGGCAGCGGCTTTTGGATTCCTCAACCTCCTGATCTTCTCACTGTCTCAGGTGCCATCTGCTCCTTCCTTGTCGAGAGCAGCCCTCAAGCCCACCTTCTGAACTGTCTTTCCTTCCTGTCTTCATTTTCTCTGTGGGCACAGTGCCCTGTCGCAATGCAGTAGTGAGAATGGTTGCAAAACAGCTGAGGCAGGACCTTAGCGTGGTGGTGGTGCCTGGGGTGCCCCCCCCATCCATCTTGCCTTGCTCAGGGTCACAGTCACTGTGAAGATAGGGAGAGAGCTTGGAGTGTGTTCTGAGAGTCACAAAGTGTCACACCCTGTGTGTGTGTGTGTGTGTGCGCGTGTGTGCGCGTGTGTGTGCAGGGAGCAATTCTGCAGGTGGTGCCTTTTTTCTCGCTCTTCACTGGCCTCTTTTGATTTTAAGAAGTTATTCTGTGCCTGATGGGGTGATGATTGATTGGAGAGCATTTTGCCAAAAGAAATCCAATTCCATGGCCCCCATTTGGCTGCTTAACACACAAGTGCTGGTGACAATCCTGAGATGACTCCTTCAGGCAGCATCAGTACCCTGAGGGTGAGGAGTGGGCATGCCTCTGTGCAGTTCCAGGAGGCACCTGCTTTGGCCTGAACCTTGCTTCCTGTAAAGGATGTGGTTTTGTTCTGGCATGTGGAAGCCCAAATACCATCATCATCCAGGGGAGGAGGGTCCTGGAGTGTGGGCCGGAAGGGTCTTGGGGTGCCCACGAAGTAGGCTTTCCCACTGCATCTGGCTGGAGGAGCCCATGTGTCTAGAGTGCCAGCAGCTGTGGGGACCGGGGGCATTGCTGTTCTGTTCACCTTTTCCGAAAAGCCCTGGTGCTCACTGTGTGGTTTTCTGCCATTGCGACCCTTGCAATTACTTTTCCCTCTGTCTCCATGGCTTCCAGTAATGATCCCATGCTTTCCCAGACACACTCTGTGTGTCCATGGCTCCTGCGTCTTTGATATCTGTCTCCTGGTAGATGGACTCCACTGGAGTAACCCTCATTGGTGGCTCCCTCCCCCTATCTCCCCTCTTTCTACACAAAAGGCTCTCTCCCCTCCATGCTCCTGACTCGCCACAAGCCCTCTGCTGTGCATCTCCTGGCTTTGGGGACTTGTAATGCCATTTGCCCTTTCCTGCTTCCTGCCCACAGGGTTTCTTCCTCCTCCTGCTTACCTCATGTCAGGCTGATGCTGGCTTTCTAGAAGTCTCTGTGCCGCTCTCCTCGGCTCTGTCCACGCATGTGCTGCCTCCTTCCTCCCTCAGCAGAACAAGGGCCGCGTAGACCGCCCTTCTCTGTTCCGGCTCCCCTAGGACACTGTGTGGCAGCTCAGTGATTAATAGACTTTATTTTTATCTGGTGCCCTTCAGACTTGTGATCCTTGGGGACAGACATGACCTTTGGAGAGGTCACCAGGTCCACTCTCCCCTCCCCCCACATCACCAGACTGGGCAAGGGATGCTTTTAATAATCTCTAATGCATCCTAAGTGCAGAGGTGTCTGCTTGTCCCCTTGGTTGTCCCCCGGGATGATGTTACCATAGGCTGCCCTTTCTTGCACGATTCCAGCTGTGCTTTGAGTGATTGTTTTCCCTAACGGGACCTGGGACCATTCTCTCCACCAGGACCCTTTTGTCTTGTGTGCATCTTTCTCCCAGTAAATAGGCACATTCAGCATTTTGCACTGTCAGGAGACTTCCTTCACCTCCTGTGTATTTTGGGTTGATCCAGGGTTCCAAGCCTACCCCTGTGGCACCCTTCCAGGTCTTCACTGAGGTTCAGTCCTCCCACTGAAAGCCAGAGTCAAAGAACTACAGATGCATTGCCTTGATTAGCCTACACCTCAGCCCTAAACACAGGAATCTCTCTAGGGCGAAAAGAAGGACTGTGCACTGCCTTGCTGGCTCCCCACACATGCAGGCTGGCCCTGGCCTCAGTGCCTCTTGGCGTCTGCTCTTTTCCACCCATGCACCTGGTTACTCCTGCTTCCTTCAGTCCCTTGCCATTTGGCCCTACTGAGACTCTATAAGCAAGGGCAGTGATATGTGACTCAGTACCATTCACTGCAGACTGGTGAGCCATGCCATCTCCATATCGTGTGTGGTTGGATGGAATAATTCACTCCACCTTTCAGGTTGTTTACCAAAGCACTCAGTCACTTTAGACCTTAGCACCTCTCTCTGGGTTGATGGGACATGGCAGTAGGCTGTGTTCCAGGTGTGATTCTATTCAACCCTTCCTGACACACATTCTGAACTAGCAGGGGCGGGGTTTGTGAAGTGCATGGGAAGTGCATGTGGTTTTGGAATTCTGTCTTTCCGTGAACTCTTTGAAGCCCCTCTTGCAGGAGTCCCGCTGTGTCCCTGGTCCATGCATCCCTTTCAGTATGGGTCAGTGAAACATTAACTTAGCCACTGATTTCAAATCATAGTTTACTTGTTAACTTTTCACCCAACCACTGAATTTATTCCATCTGAAGAACAGGAAATCATCGGAATGTAGTTTATTTGTTATGTAGTCTGTGGTGGGTGTGTATATAAATCCTTCATTTTCCAATAAGTCACCAGTCTGTATTTGTTATCCTGCAAGGATTCAAGTTCTGTTTCTTCTCTTTGAGTTTCTCTCAGTCTCAAGATCAGGGTTTGTCACCCACCAACAAAGTCCCAACATCAGATTTAATGGGGAAAGGCCATGGGTCAGCGTGTGGAGCTGGAGTAGAAATTAGCTAGATGGTTGTTAGAATGCAGATTCCTGGGCCTCACATCAGCTTTGTTGTGTCTAAATCCCCAGTGGGTGGGCCCAGGAGCCTGCAGTCTTGAAAGCTGCTGGGATGTGTCAGTGGAAGTCATAGGAATACAGACTTGTGAGAATGACTGGTCTACTTCCTACAAGCCCAGGGGCTGTGGCCTCTGACTGTGGAGGGAGCTGTTTGCATCTGGAAGTCCTTGGATCTTCAGGAATTGGCAGGCAGATTGCCACTGGCCTAAATCACTGTTGCAGTTGCTCTCTTTTCAGTCTTTCCTTTCTAGCTCTTTCTGCATTGATGGGAAACTCCTCAGCTCAGTGCTTGATTTGAATCCATCTTGAGGCCTGCACATAGCATCCCCCAGGCCCATTTTGTAGGTGAGATGGTAAATGGAGACGGGACTCCTGGGAGGTTTTAAAAGTCAAGCATTGTTCTCTTTTCTTCCCAACCGCTCCCCTTGTGGGGTTATTCTGTTAGTGTTGCTGGGGCAGATCCTGATGAGGCACCTACTTTCCTTGTGCTCTCTGTCCCTGCAGTGTCACAGAAGAGAAGGTGGTGGTGATGGGATGGTGGTCAGGGAGAATGCTTTGTCTGTTGAGTCCTGTCCATTTGCATGTACCTGCCCTTGTACTGGCCATGATGGCAGTGATTTATGACATTAATATTTTTTTTCTGAATCACGGTAACCAATCCCGTGATTGGGTTGCACACCATGTACAACAAGCGCTTTCCAGATCATCTCTTCCAGTCCCTGCCCTGGCCTAGGGTCACAGGGCTAGTTGCCCTCACATTCTTGTAAAGAAAGGAGGCTCAGAGGAGTGAAGAGGCTCAGCTAAGTTCATGCAGCAGTTCTGGAAATTTCTCTAGTTCCAGAGCTTACACATCTCAGGACATCTCCTGGACAAACCCCAGAGTTTGGTTCTGCAGAGCATGGAGGGCTGAGCTTGCTCTAGGAGTTAGCACCCCTTATTTATGGTAGATGAAGGGGGGGTACCCTGGCTGCTTCTAACAGGCAGCTTTTCCTTGTCAGTGCACAGCATGCAGGAGCCAGGTAGTAATTAGAGCCGAGGCAGAGTGGGACAGAGCTTTCGAGGCTTTTAAATTTAACTCTGTTAAAATCAGACCTCTCCCACCCCCAAATGAAAGCACTGGGCTTGGAGTAGAGATAAAAGGCAAGAGAGAAGCCGGGGCATGACTCACCTCTGAGTCATGTCCAGGCGCCTCTACTCCAGGGCTGCAGGGGTGACAACTTCAGTTCTCATGCCTTTCCCCCAAATCATGCTTTCCATTGTTTGCCCTGTTACCTACCTTCTAGAAAGAACCAGGATTGGGGTATGTTGGAGTAGAATCTAGGGTCCCTTCCTGCTCTGACATCTGTTATCCTGTGGGAAGAATGGGTTGGGCTAATGACATGGAGGGGCCAGGGCCATCTGTGATTTCACCCCAAGGTAGCTGAGGCACGTATGTCCCCCTTTGTTAGGTACCGGGTCTCCTTAGATGGCTGCAATAATTGGAAGTGGGTTGGGCCAAAGCCAGGATCCAGCAGCTTCATCCTGGTCTCCCACATGGGTACAAGGAC